CAGCGCATCACAGGCTGGTGTTTACTGTCAGTTTATGAAGAATGCACTGATGTGCGAGTTCATAAAAACATCTTTCCTGTCCTTTGTGCTGTTGGTTGAAGAGCTGACTCTCAATAAAAAAATAGCTTTAATGCCTAAGAGTTACAGAAGCTCCCGTCAGCGAGGAGGCTCAGAAACCACGGAGGTTTCACCAAGTCCCTGTTGGTGAGCGTCAGCTTGACTGACAGGGCACACGTTCAGGAGAGGAAGTGTTGACAAAGATGAATATGGAGGGAACTCAATCATGCCTCATTTCATAGGACTTCACCTTCTTTCTGTAAAAACCTGTCAGATGTGAGTTTCCCTCTAAAATTAGAATTGTTTTATTCCTTTTTCCAGTTTCTAAAATTACCTGTGTCGTTTGGGGGAAAATACAGGAGAAGGACAGAAAGAAGAAAGTGAAAATCACCTGACATTCATGCCCACACCATGCACTGTCAGCCCATCGGTGGCATCCCTTCCAGGAGTTTTTTCTGCGTCTCCCTGTGAAGGAGAGGTGGGAGCAAGCACCTGTTGCCCCTCGGCCACTCTGGGACCTGCCCTTGCTTTGAAACGCTGTGTGCAGGGCATGACTCCCATTGAGACATGGGCTTGGGTGGAGGCTGCAGCTTCAGAGGGAACACTCGGGGTCAGGCCTGTGCCTTGTGGGCCGCCCTGACCCTGGAGGAGGTGGGGGCTGTGGCACTGTGGAACCGGAATGGCAGAAGGCCCTGTGGCCGTTGGCAAGGCCGGAACACGGGTCCCTGAGCTGAAAGAGGATTCTGGGGGGCAAGGCCTGTGGGAGAAGAATCATATCAGAAGGGGACCAAGACCTGGCTCTGGGAGGGTGGCCCCACTCCCTTCTCAGGAAGGTGTTGCTGCAGGGAGAACAGGCATGTCAGGCCCCTCCAGAACCAGGCTCCAGGTCCCTCCAGAACCAAGTTCCAGGTCCCTCCAGAACCAGGCTCCCAGCTGCTCCAGAACCAGCCTCCCAGTCCCTCCAGAACCAAGCTCCTGGCCCCTCCAGAACCAGGCTCCTGGTCCCTCCAGAACCAGGCTCCAGGCAGCTCCAGAACCAGGCTCCAGGATGCTCCAGAACCAGGCTCCAGGCCCTTCCAGAACCAGGCTCCAGGCAGCTCCAGAACCAGGCTCCAGGATGCTCCAGAACCA